TATATATACACATATATATATATATATATATCTATCTTGATCATTTAAAGGCATGTTTTGATGACAAGGGCACGTAAGACATGTGGCAGATTACAGTTTGTGTGGTCTAAAATACTATTTCAATTGTTTTTCAATTCAAAGTAAAAAAAGTGTTTTTAAAAGAAATAAACATATATTAAAAAATACATCTCCAGAATTATGTACATAAAATTGATTTATTTTTCAGAAAGACTGTTGTACTGAAATAGAAGGGAAGGCTGGATCTTTTTGTGAGACTACCATATTTAAAATGCTAAAACATACCTGTTCCGGTACTCTGAAGTCTACATAGCTTGATTTGGGTTGGGTGGCTGGTTCAGTATTTGCAACAAGTGGCACCTAATGGACATGAATATATGTATTACTCTCCCATCACCTTGTTGAGGGACTAAAATCTATCTTAAACAGAGAAAAAAAAAAACCCAAAAAATTCTTGCCTGTAGCACTGATTTTTGTCAAATAATAGGTTTTATTTTGCTTCTTTGCTGTCCAGAAAACAATGATGAAGATTTGCATGTGAAAGGATATAGTAGAGCTAGAGTGGCTTATGACAGCAATAAGGCAGACAAAGAAGAAATCATTCAGAGTTGGAGGAGATGCAATAAGGAGACATTGCTCAGAGGAGGTTGAGAAAAAGGAATGATCTGATGACAATGTTAAAGTGCACATGGCTAAGTTTGTAGCTGGGTCAATGGAAGTGTGTAGGTAGAAAGCAGCATCCTATACCATCCTCACAAACTGAATATTTTTACCAACTCCAAACCCAATTGAAAAGAGAATTGCTGTTTATGAAGCACTCAGTTCTCCATTTCAGGAATAAGTGTCTGGGTATAGTATTAGGCAAGATGTGCTTGACTTCTTACATCAGACCTCAAACTCAAGTCCTGATTGCTCATGGATATTAAAGGCATCTTGGTATTTTCTGTTTGAAAGGTGGGCTGATCACTTGATAATGGTCAGGGCATCAGTTTCAACTCTCAGTATAAAAGATTAATACGCAGTACAAATTGCCAGCTATGGCCAGCTGCAGTCAAGAACATAAATACATAAGACATCTATACAGACATTTTTGTGGAAAGAGATTAAAAAAGGTAGAAAAACATGGACGTTAAGATGCAACAGTTATGACAGGTCTTGTCGAGCCACGCGGCCTTTGTGTATTTATCATTCCTTATGAAGGAAGAAGAACTCATCTATAGTACATTACTTGGGATTATTGTTCATGATTAGATCCATTTGCTTTACACAATGGATGTGTGCTGTTCTGATGAAATAAGTATGCCACTAAATCACAGCATGCCACTCAATAATGTAGCTAATGTGGGATTTATTTCCTTTTAGTATGACTATTTCACACTGATAGGTGACATGTTCTATGATATGCAGCTGCTCCTTGCACTGCTACCTTGACAGCATTTATAGCTTGAGAAGCAAGTGAATTAAGCCGCTGCCTTCCAGCCAGGGAAGACTGTCACCAGGCTTTTCATTTATGATTTTGTCTACAGTGTGTATCCTGGCTCCACAAAGAAAAGGAGTTTGTAACAGCCAATTTGACATTATCCAGTAATCATTCAAAAACAAAAGTGTGGAGAATTTTGCAGATATGTAATGGCTTTGTAATAAACATAGGCAGGATATGAAAAAGCCAACTATTGTATTATTATCACCATATTTTCTCACATGCAATGTGCCCCCAAATAATAGGTGCACCCAGTTTTTGAAAGGCAGAATGAAGGGAAAAAACCCTTTGTTTGAAAATACTGGTAAGTAGCAGTAACTGAGTACAACTTATACAACAAGTGGAAAAACAAAGTGTACACAGCCAGCAGTGAGGGCCTCACATGTAGTTCTGCAGTGTTACTTTCACTTTCTTGGTCACAGGCAGAAACTATTCCCATATTTCCTCATTTATAATGCACACCCCAACTTCCAGCAGCTGAATTCTGGGGAGAATGATGTGCATTGTATGTGAAAAACATAGCATGGGTAGTATCTAAAGAAGAAATAATGCACAATACATATCCAGTCTCAAAATGTTGTACATACCTGTGATACAAAAGGCCGAGGTGGCAGGGCAGGTGGTGGTGGTAACCAGCCTGATCTAGCAGCTGAAATGAGAGAGGAAAACAAATTAAAGTTACTGAAATCTGATCCTAGACTATTTTTCTGATGACTGTCGGTGAAGAGGTTCCATTCAACTTTTTAATAATGAAATTCAACTTGATTTTTACTGAAGTTACATTCAAGCAGCTTGTTTGCAACTCTTCCTTCTACACCTTCCATTCTTAAAAACAATGAACAGATTCAATTGTTATAAAAAAAACTTATGCTACAGTAAAAGTTAAAAATAAGAGAGTCAGCCAGATACAGAAGACACTATTAAAACAATGCAACTTTAGTTGGGGGTTTAAGTTTGCTCCATTCCTAGAACTCTGTTCTTCATCATTAACATTCTTGCCTTTAAAGAAAAGTAATGCTTTAAATGTCTAACATAGACATTAGAGTTCACTCAAGATAAAACACACTGATATGACAAAGCACAGCTGAGAAGAAAACATCTGCCATGGAATTAGAAGGACAGATACTTAGATGAACCACACAGAGATCAATTTTAGGGGTTTTCTTCATTGTTTTGGTGTATTTTGAGAAAAAAAATACAGGCCCCAATAGCCAGTTTTAGTAATACAACATAATATAATAAAATGTAGCCTTTAATTCTGATCCAACAAAATGAGACAGTAATTACTATGTGGGCTATCCATTATACTTCTCAATCTGGCTCCAGTTAAATGCATGAAACACATCAGAGGCTAGAACTGCAGGGGACATGAGGCTTTCTACAGGCAACTATGAAGAAGAGGACTAGATTAACACATAGATATCAAGTGCAATTGATAGATGTTTTTAGCGAGTTACCTTTCCAGAGGCCCCCTGCTACAAAGCCATTCTGGGACTTGCGTTTGAAATGATGCAAGTCAGCCAATCTCAGATTTGTGTTTATTTGCAAAGAATAAAATCTATCAATAAACCAATGCATTAAAATAACATGGCCCTTTTACTACAATAGTGATAAACAAGTATTTACATACACATGTTGTTTATTTTTATGCATCTTCTAAAAGGTTACATAGATCATTGTAAGTCTTGTTACAGCACAGCCATGGAAATTATTAGCAAGCTCCATCTGAAAATTTCCATATGCTTTCTTTAATACAAACCTATTCATTTACTTTAAAAAGATATAAAATACTAAGGGCACCAAGAAATGAATGTAAGAATTCACAGGAAAAGTACTGAATACAGCTCTCTTGGTTATAAACAGCTCCAAAGAGGGATGTAACACAAAAAATATATAAAATGAAAAGCCTATCCCTTAGATAACCAAGGAAACCGTACATTGCTTCAGACAGTGCCAAGTAGGAAAGCAGAAGTACTGAAGGTTAGGTTAACTGCTAAAGTCACTGTTATATCTGCAGGTGGTATATACCCAGTACTTAACCATATTCATTATAGGCTAAGTTACTAGTACCTTTTACCCTATGTTTAGTTATTTTGGAGGAAGCCATATATCATACTCGTAAGATTTCCATCCCTCATCAGCCATCTCAGCCATTTGACTAGTCTTAAAATTTCTCGCCCAGAGGGTGAGAAACTGACCCCCAGTTCCAAACTCTTGATTATTATGCTGATTTTTGAGTGCCAGCAGTCTGCTGCAACTGCAGATTCATAACTGAACTGGAAACAGACAATGCCTCTTCTCTGAAGCACCGTCTAGGTCCAACATAAAAGATTACAATACCAGATGAATACACAGAAACATACAGAAGAAGCCCTAGAAGGGACCTCAAGAGGACATCTAGTCCAACCCCCGGCCTGAGCCAGCATCATTCATTCCTATCCAAACCATCCTATTCAAACCATAATCTAAACTCTATATAAATGTAGTGTCAAACTTGACACAGCACAGACCTAACACCCTAACCTGTCAGAAGTAAAGCAGCCAATAACGTCCTGCTTCTATGAAATGTTGTCAATATATACTCAAGAGATCCTGGGTAGAGGGCCACTCCCCCTGCTACAGAGGAATGCAAAAACCCCCACAGCCTGTACCAATCTGACCATGGGTTAAAATTCTTTTCTGACCCCAAATATGGCCATCAGTCTGATCCTGAATGGAGGGGCAAGACACTCTAGCCAGGAACCTCTGGCTCTGCTCCCAGTAAGAGTACTGGCACATCCCAGTCAAAGTCCCCAGCCTTGGCTGTAGCCTACACCCAGTGCCTGAGGATGGCTTAAAAACACCCTGACATGTAGCAGAAAGGAGAAAGGGCTGGGGCGGGGGAGGGGGCAGGGGCAACTAGCAAAGCCCAGAAGCATGGGAAATACCCATAGTAGAACACAGGTGTAGCTATGCCCAGATCATCCCTGACCAGTGGCTGTGCAATGTTTTCTTGAATACCTCCAGTAATGGGAGTCCACAACTTCCCTAGGCAGTCTATTGCGCTGCCTTACTATTCTAACAGTGAAGAGTTTTTCCAGACATCGAATCTAAACTTACTTTGCTTTAACTTCAAGCCATTGGTCCATGTCCTACTTTCTGCAACAAGAGAGAAAAGGTGCTTTCCCTCTTCTTGATGACAACTCTTCAAGTACAAAGACTGCTACCGTGTCCCCAGCTTTTTCCGCAAGCTGAACATGTCTAGCTCTTTCAGTCTCTCCTCATATGACCTGCTTTCCAAGCCCTTTATCATTTTTGGACCCTCTCTGATTTTTCCATGTCCTTTTTAAATGGCTGCACACAGTACTCTAGATGAGGCCTAACCACAGGGGAGCCATGTCTTGCCCTTAATGCTTCTGTTGACGCAGCCCAAAACCACATTCTGTTGATGCAGCAGCACATTCACTTTTTGTGCGGTTGCGTCACACTGCAGACTCATATGGAGTCTGTGATCTACCAAGACTCACAAGTCCTTTTCCATACTGCTGCTATCCAGCCAGGTGTCACCCATTTTATATTTGTGTTTCTGATTATTCCTCCCAAGCCATAGCACTTTGCATTTGTCTGCACTGAACTTCATCCTGTTCGCTCTAGCTGAACTTTCTAATCTTTCAAGATCCTTCTGAATTGCACTTGTATCTTCCAACATGTTCACAATCCTTCCCAGTTTCATGGCATCTGCAGACTCACTCAAGAAACTTTCTATGCCACCATCCAAATCATTAATAAACAATTACGGTCACAGTCAAAACAGAACCAAAGTTTCCTCATTCCTAGTTCAGTACTCTACTGGATACTGGTCTGCATAGAGTGCTGAGAAGTCAGACTGCTCATATCACATAAGCAAGAGTACAGAAGCCTATGCACCCTTCCTCCCAAAATCAGCCCTCTATGAGGTATGCAGCTTAAGTGGGGAGGATGATTTCTCTTTGTTGGAGTAAAAACATATAAGAATAGAATTATACAGACACAGCTCTCTAATGGCTGTCAAAATGGCTGCGACTTCTCCGTGGCCTAGCAGGCAGGAGGGGCAGAGTCCAGTGTAAACCCTGTCACAGCCACTAAGCAATCTGCAGTGGCTACTGGCTGAACACTGTAGCTTGTGCCCAAAGCAGCAACTGACCTGGCCGAGGACAAGTGAGCTGCTACATACAGTCCATAGTACTGCATTTACCCAAACCAGACAACACTGAATTTAATACAATCCCCTGAGAGTCAGGGGCAGAAGGGTAAGTGGCAGGGCTAACCAAATTGAAAGTGTATCCTAAAATGAACTCCAAGTACCAATCCTGAATCACCACAATCCACTCAAAATGTTCTCCATGATGTTCCTAAAAATTTCCTTTATCCTGAAACTCATTGCATCTTATTTCAGCCTTTGTAATATGCCATATTTGCAAATTTAGTATTAAACAAGTCAGATATTTAAAAGCCATGTAGTTGACCCAGTTTCCTCTTTTTTAATCCTGCCAATTCTAACTTAAGCTTTTCATGAAATATTCATAAAATTCCCTACTGTTTCCAAATATCTTTGACCTGTTGTTAGAAAAAAATTGTGCTTATGTTAGCACAATTGCCAGACAAGATTTTAGAGACAGCTGACTTTTGAGGAATAAAAACAACTACAGTATAACAAACACACACTTTTTCTTCTAAAGGGGGCCATGAAAAATAGTGCTCATGGCAGGTGATCCATTCTTGAACTTTCTCTGCTATCAATCCCTTAACTAAAGAACTTGCCATAAAACACAAACAGTTTCTTGTCTAACTCAGCGGATGCATTATAATTGTAGATGACTCTGGAAGGTCTGCGTTTCTTGGAAACTGTTCTACACAAAGCTTGTCAGTGTTTGGCTTTGTCTGTTAAAATGGTATTGTTCTGGGGGCTCTGGAAATAAACAGAAATACAGCAAATGATTTATTGCTACAGTGAAAATAAATCTCAAACTGCTTTCATAGGAACCAGTTCAAGTACATGGAGAAGTAACCCTTGCTCCAGGCTGCTCTGAGGATGCTAGTTCACACATTGGGAGCATAGCTGACCCTACCCATAAGTGTATTGCCCTTCCTCCTCTATGTTCCCTTGGTAGCAGTTGGGCTGAAATGGCCATTGGATCTGCATAATATTGAATCTACTAACTCTATTATCCCAAGCACCTATCTCTGGCCTGGGGCCAGGTTTTCCCTTCTCCATACTTTAGAAGTGTCTCTGTGAATTAAGGCAAAGTGAGCCAGCATACAGTAAAGCTATGCAGTACAGAAAAGCAGCAAGGAGATGAACCTGGACTTACACCCAAGCAAAAGAACACCTTTTGTGCCGTTAACAGAGCTATTGAGTCCACATATATTCTTCATAAATGGATGAAGACAACAAATTGCACACACAGAACAGCTTGGGGATATCAGTGAGAGAAGCTCAACTGCCTCGAGTATTCAGGTGTTTGTATCATAGCAAATGAAATGTTCAGAGTGAAAGCATTTTTAAGGCCTGGATTGCTCTCACAAAGAAAGTGATAGTGCTTTCATTACAAACTCATCGCCCTGCACTTAGCATGTTTACACTTCCTGGTGAACTATCAGTATGGCAGTCATCCAAGGCTATTTCTTAGC